ATCGACTGTTTATCGTCATTTCTTAAACATGCCTGAACTGATTTTATTCAAAGTTGGTACAAAGATAAATCATAATGAGATAAACCTGCACATAGACCTCTTCCACTGCGGGTGTACCAAACGATGTGAAAAATATAAGATTCCCTTTTATCATATGTATGCTATGTTTTGTTTTTGCACCCCAGTCTCGCTACTTTTTGGGAAAGTGTTTTATTGATTTGTTTTTTTTATTCCATTGATCTTTGACTGACTGGCATCAATTTTTGTCCCTAAAAGCACATTTCAACATGTCATCTCAGGCATGACTTATTCATTCTAACATCACTGACACACGTCATTTTGTTTTCTGATTGGTTAATAATGGCCGAAGAGTTCTGTCTGTTTCACAGAAATATTTTTACAAGATTTGAACATTTGTTTCTCAGGAATGCCTGTACTGATTTCATTCAAACAAATGCATTTTAGACTTCTTCTTGAAAACTGCAAGATCAATCGCTTTGATACTTAGTATGTATGAAACAAAAATTTGATTTGGATGAAAAAAAATAAAAATGTGTCCATTGACTGCATATTAATGAAGAATTGAACCAACAAGGTACATGAGCTGGATTTAGATTGTCATGAAACAAGTTAGTTTTTCCTGCTGTTCACATGGAACCCTTACAAATTGTGCATCAATAAATTAATCCTACCTTCTGATTTCAAATGCTAACTCCTTAAATAACACTACATTTCGGACAAGTGCCCAGAGTTGCCCAGGCATGTTTGTTTGAATTCTGAAATAAAACCATTTGATATTATTTGTAACTGCCAGGTAGTAAAGTATTACAAGAGGGGGATATTGTGATCTTTGGACATCCAAATGGTGTACATATACCAGCAGGAACTCAGATCAGACAGCCAAGCTCAGAATATCAGTTCGTGGTAAGATACGCATTACAAGTCACTATGAAATATAGCTTGGCTATTTTTAGTGAATTGAGAGTTTGTACTCAGTGTTAAAAAAAATTATGCAAAAATGGATAACTTGTTTACTGCAGTAGTTTTAGTGATGATCAATGTTTTCTAGATTGCCTGGCTGATTGTAACAACTTTCTCAGTGTGAATGTGTTAGTCGTGCCTAGAACAATTTGCACATATTCCAAAATTTGAATTAATTTGAACCTTTCCGTAAAAATAACTATTTTAGAGTATTGTTGGAACTCCACTTAATTTTGAAAAACAGTCAGGTTTACAAAATCACAAACCAATGCACATCATTTAGGTTATTACACAGTCTGAGTATGACTGTGTAAGTACTGTTGTTGCATGTGTTAAGGGAAAATACATGCAACTCAATGTATCCTTTTCTTCCTTCAACAGTTTGAACAATGTGATTGTAGTGATGAAGAGAATCCACGCGATAAACAGGTATGTATCAACAGTCATTGAAAACTTATTTTGAATACAGTAATTTGCACAGCAGGTCCAACCAGATCTGCATTAGCGCAAAGGTCCGGAAGTTTCAAGTGTGGCTTTAAACATACATGTACACTCTTCGCAAACTTTTAGTTAAATAACAACTCTCATTTCTCATTCCAAACCTTACATAGTGTAGTCAATCTATATTCAAACCTTGTAAATATACAAGGCTCCTTTATTCAGGCTGCGACAATTACTATATCTATATGAATAAAAATTTAGTAATTTCGGTCTGTCACACCTCAAACAAGCAGCATAGGGACAAATTACAAATGGCATCTGTCACCAATGTCATGTACTAGGATTTCTTTCCTATGTATTGATCGGAATTGTATATCCTCAAGGATCATCAATGTCTTGTTTTGCCCGGGGATTGACAGTACCAGAAAATAAAAATATTAATTATTGCTATGTAAACAAAACTCATATGCACAAGTTCTGGATTATATTACCCATCAAAGTTGCTGTCTGAATGCCTGCATTTTTAAAGACCTCCACACGGATTGTTATTCTTTGGTGTTATTAACTGCAACAAACAAACAGAGAGCTGAACCGTGGAGCATGTTTTTACTCTATGATAGCATGAAATAAAACAATGCGTCTGTTCAATGAATGTGCGACAATACTACC